ATTTCCTACTTTTTCTACCTGTTTACTTGTTGCTCTTCTTGATATTTCTTTTCTACTGTTATTCTTGAAATTACAGTCAGATTTTTCTCTGACTAGAATATCTTTCAGTACTCTTTGTAATGCTGGTTTGGTACTCATGAAGTTCTTCAATTGTTCTTTGTCATGGAAATATTTTATTTCTCATTTGAATTTGATGGATAGATTGGCAGTGTACGTCAGTCTTGGTTAGAAGCTATTTCCTCTCAGGACCTGTAATACTTCAGTCCACACTCTTGTCGATTGAATGGTTTGTGCTGAGAAGTCTGCTGTGATTCTGATGGGCTTTCCTTTATAGGTAATCTGTTTCTTTTCCCTAGCAGCTTTTAATATTCTGTTCTTTTGCTGGAGATCTGGGAACTTGACTCTTATGTGTCTGGGTGTAGTTTTATTTTGGTTGTGGTTGTTTGGAGTTCTATATGCCTCATTTACTTGTATATCAGTTTCTGTTTCCATACTTCGGAAATTTTCTGCTATTATGTCTGAAAAGATTCTTTTTATGTTGTTTGTGTTGCCTCCTGCTGTTTCATTGACTTCTATTAGTCATACATTATTCCTCTTTGCCTCATCTTGCAGCTGTTGAATTGATTTTTCCGGGATCCTTATTGATATTACGAGATGCTTTCTCTCATGGCCACTAGCTGCCATGCTGTCTTCAAAATCTGAAATTCTGTCTTCAGCTTCATTCAAGCAGTTTTGGCAGATTCCAGTGGAAGCTTTGATTTCCAGGAAGTCTCTTTGAATCTGGTTCATGTGTTCTAAGTCAGTTCTATGTTTTTCATTTAACATTTCTATTCATTGCCTATGTTCTTCTATTTTCTTATATGTTTCTTCTTCACATGTTCTGAGCAGTTCTTTCATGATTATTGTCATTTTGTTTTTTGCCTGAGAGATTATTTCTGATCTGATCTCTTCTATGGCCTTATGGAGTTGTTTCTTTACTTCCATTGCAATCATTTCAGCAATTTCAGGTGTGTGTTTACTAAGTTCTCCTATGTTGATGTCTCCTGGAATTGTTCTGAGTGGGGTAAAGTTCTGGGATTGTGTTTTATTCTTTTGTTTTGGCATGCTTGCTACCAGATGCAGAAAGCTCATTTTACCTTTTCAGTGACTGCACAGCAAATGCTGCTAGTGTCTGTAGTTTTCCTGTTCATCACGTTTGTCCCTCAGTGTCTGATGAGATGCACTACTTAGTCTGGGGTTTTCTGGCAGTTGCTGATGTTTATCTAGTTATCCCAGGTCTCAAATGCAGTTATTGGTGTCAGCTCATGGCATACCATCTGGTCCATCATTCCCTTGCAGTTCATGGCATGTGTACAGCCTTGATGTGCATTGCACATCATTATGTGGCATAATCCCAGTCCAACGGACCTGTATCCCCAGGCAGTTCAGGGTACAGGCAAAACCCAGACATCAACTGCAGGGTCAACAGTTTGTGGACCACCTGATGTGGTGTCTCAGTTCAGGACACATACAGGAACCAGATGCAGGCCACACCAACAGCAATCACAGACTGTCTGTGTCTGTGCCCACCATGATGTTGGGATGCAATTAAAGCACAGACTCAAACCATGGTACCAGCAGCTCTTGGAGTGCCTACTCACTCAGCACAGGCACGTGCAGGGAGGACCCACACATGAACCCCAGTGAGAGCAGTCCACAGGCCTTCTGAGTGAGGAACTCCTGTCTCCTGTTGGTGCACAGAGGGCAGAGACTCAGAGTGTGACAGTGGGGTCCTGGGTCACCTAGTCTGCCCCCAAGATGTAGATGTGAAATACCTGGCTTTCTCCGTGGTTTTCATCTGGGAACTGTAGTAGCAGTGGGTCACCACCTGCCTGCTTCTGCTTCTCTCGTCGGTTCAGAAAGTGCACAGGAGCCAGACCCAGGCCGCTCAAACAGCAATCACAGACTGCTGATGCCTGTGACCTCCAGGGGTTCAGGGCACAAGTCCTGTGTATTTTTCTAATTTTCTTTAATATGCCTGTATTTTTCTGGAATCAGAAAATTGCTATAAAAAAGACAAATCCTCAAAAATTGGCAAAATCCTTCGGACATACATATTTAAAGCATGATTGCAAAAATAGATGAGACTTCACCAAATTTTGTTATCATTCAGTCTGCATTTTACAAACTTTCTTTTAAAAAAATCATAAGCAACTATGAACAAGGCCTACACTGCTTGCCTAGAATGCACAAGATAATCAATTCAGTCATCAGTGTCTCACACACACACACACACACACACACACACACACACACACAAATTTCTCATAAAGCCATTGACAATATAAACAGTCTCAGGTTGAAAAATATTAGTTGTCTTGGTCTCCATTTTTTTTCCAAGATCATGGCTTTATTCAAGTCACAAAACACTGTAAAAAAGAACAAAAATGCACAGATTCTTGCATAACATTACTGAGTTCGTGCAGTCTGATATTTTTAGATAATATTATTGATTTCATGAAGTCTATCAGTAATTTCACAGTACAGTGTGTGTCAGCTCAACCTCAGTCTAAGGGAAAGGCTTCTCAAACTCTTCTCCAGGTTTTTGAAGCTTAGTACCCTCCTGGATCAGCAGCTTCATCACTCAACACCCACATGGGTGCTATATTGAATCATAGCAGTAAAGATTGTATTTTATGTTTATCTTCCTGAGTCACAGCCACTGACACAATTTATTGTGAGACAGAATATGTGTACCAGAATATTAATAGTGTCCAATCATACCAGACAGTCCTGGTTTTGGTGTTTCAAAGTTTACATAATTCACCAAAATATGATATCAATATATACAAGTTAATAAACACCAAGACTTTATCACTCCTATAAAAGAAATATGGATCCTATATGATGGGTGATTACTAAGAACATTCATATTATTAGATTTGCATTTTTAAAATCTCTGTTTTCTTTGTAGGCAGGTTCAATGCCAAAGGGCCAAATAGGATGTGAGGAGAGAGAGGAGTAGTTTCCTTCTACACTGAAAAGGAAAAGCAAGGGACAAAGATATGCAATGTTAAAAAAATAATATAGGAGACAGGGTTTAGTTCAGAAACTTGCCAGGTATGTATAAGACATTCAGCTCTATTCCCATCAACACAAAAACAAAAACAAAATATTTAAAGTAAGTAGGATTCCAGCAAATAGGAACTGATCTAGTTATTCCAACTTGAAAAGACAAGCTAGGGAAGAAGTACATAAGAAATAATTTTCTAAGGAAAAATGACAAGCTCACTAAAAGTTATATGTGAAATTTCTCCTTCAAACTGAGCTATCTAAACTTCAAGAGAGTGTAAATAATGTAAGAGTAAATAACTTCAGTAAGAGTAAATAACTTCAAATAAGAGTAAATAAGCAAAATGCACAACAGATATTGTGAAATGGAAAACACTGTTCAAAACAAAAAAAGAACTATGATACGAGAAAGGGAAAAGGAAGAAAGGGAAAAGGAAAAACCCAAAATACAAGATAGTTATACTGCTAGTTTCTCTTTGTTCATTGAAAAGAAAGGTTTGTGTTAATATTGTTTGGAGAATTATAAGTCTATATCTTGTACAGCAATTAACTAGTTTAAAGCTGACAATACTCACTGTATTAACTATTTTGATTGTCCTATTATTTTATTATGAAATTTTGATTTGCATATTTTTCATAAAATAAACATAAATAAATAACTGGAAAAACGTACTACTGCTGACTTGGAGGATATTTCAAAGCCATGCAACATGTAAGATGAAATCTTTTCATACATAGCTAAAGAACTACAAGGGCCAGGGATATAGCTCAGCAGCATAAGTGCCTGCCTGGCAAGTGCAGGTTCCTCAATTCGATTCCCGGTACAAAAAAAAAAAAAAACATAGCTAAAGAACTACAGACAAGGCTGGGCATGATGGAACACGCCTGTAATGCCAGCACTAGGAAGGCTATGGCAGAAGGATCACTGTGAGTCTGAGGCCACTCTGGGCTACATAGTGAACTTGAGACTAGCATGAACTGCACAATGAGACACTGTATCAAAAAAAAAAGCTACAGAAGAGTTATAAAATCATATCTATCCCTAAGTTCAACAGGATCTCATCTTTTAGCTGAAGTTAAATACCAAAATTGTGCAAGAGATAGGATAATATTAATTTATTCTTTTGACCTTCTTTTCACAATTTTTCATTAGCACATTTAGTGCCATTAAAATGCTTGCTATAGATCATTTGGAAGGTAATGGAAGGCAGGCTAGTTTCCTAACAGATGTGTAATCCACACTCAAATAGTAGTTTATTCATATCACACCTGCAAATACTCATTTGGTAAATCAGACAGAAAGTGCAACACTCTCTTTAAATACTATTACTTTTGATATTTAGGAATAGTATAATCATCTGTAAAATAATTATGTACATTATAATTTAACATATAAAATAATATATTGCTTCATTATAACTTGGTATCCATTTGTAGATTTATGTAATGCATTCTTTTTAATTTCCATTTGTTCCTTTATTTAATTAAAAACTTAGCTCACATAAAATAAAACATTTTTGCATTTTTTATTCCTAATCAGTTATCTACAAGTATATAGACACTGAGACACTCAGGTAGCATAAACAAAGGTACATACATGGATTAGACGAGATATGCTCTTCAGAATCAGTGTCAGAAAGAAGAATGCCCAAGTTAAATATTAATGGAAATTCCTTCCACTATGTGAAGTTTCAAAAACCACAATCACTGAAGTCCACTGTAGGAGACATGATCTCCAGTAATAAGAACAATATTCCGAGGCTGAGCTAACTCCTCTCTTATATTAACAGAATACTTAAAACAAGAGCTCCTCAGGGAAATTTAAGTAGATCAAAATAGAGTTCCAGAAGAGAGACAGAAGAGATTTCACAGTAGAATTTTGAGAAGTAAACTGAATTGAAAAGATTTCTGAAATATTTAAAGAAATTAATTTTCAAGAATACCCAAAATTAATCTGAATTTCTTAGTCTGTGCATGAAAGGACTCTTCCAGAAACATACAGCCTTGAGTAAGAGTCCTCTCATAACTACCTTCATCTCCTTATTTCTAAGTGTATAGATGATAGGATTCATAAAAGGTGTAATAATGGCATCAAAGATAGCTAAAAATTTATCTACAGGTAAGGTAGGAAATGGCCACACATACACAATAATGCAAGGACCAAAGAAGAAAACTACTACAGTGATGTGAGCTGAGAGAGTGGAAAGTGCCTTGGCCAAACCACCTGAAGAGTGTTTCCGAACTGTGACCAAAATGCAGATGTAGGACACAATCAAGATGAAAAAGGTGCCCATGGAGATGAAACCACTGTTGGCCATGACCAGGAACTCCAGTCCATAGGTGTCTACACATGCAAGTTTGATGAACCGAGGAAAATCACAATAGAAGCTATCCATTTTGTTGGTTCCACAGAAGGGTAAGTTCACAACAAAAGCCAGCTGGACTACAGAGTGGAGGAGTCCAATGCTCCAAGCAGCAGCCAGAAGACAAATGCACATCCTCGGGCTCATGATGGTCAGGTAGTGGAGGGGCTTGCAGATGGCAGTGTATCTGTCGTAAGCCATGACTATCAGCAGCACCATCTCTGTACCTCCAACAGTATGGATAAAGAACATCTGAGTGATGCACCCTTTCAAGGAGATGACTTTATGTTTTCTGAAGAGGTCATAAATCATCTTTGGAGTTGCAATGCTGGCCACACTGGTATCGATACAGGAGAGATTTGCCAGCAAGAAGTACATTGGGGAATGTAAGTGATGATCTGAGATGATTGCGAGCACAATGAGGAGGTTTCCCAGTATGCTTGCTACATAAAATATTGTGAAAAACAAGAAAAGGAGAATCTGAATTTCCCAAGAACTCGTGAGTCCCAGCAACAAAAATTCAGACACCACCGAGTGATTTCCTCCATCCATCAACTTCCTGTGCAAGGCTCATCCAAAATCTACTGTTCCTTCAAGGACACAGGAGGCAGAAAAATGTAATTTTTATGTTGAATGTGACATATTGTTTATAGAGTAATGGTACACATGTCAAAAACTAAAGATCATCTTGCCATTTTTAACAGATAGGGTTTACACACTCCAAAGAGCATCACAAACTAGCCCCATAATTCCTACCTGTTTAGAATCACTTAATCACAGAACTTCAAATATAGTTTGAGTTCTAAATATGACCAAGAAGAGAGAAATATAAAGGAAGGCACCTTAGAATTTAAGGAAAGGTGTATCAGGAAATACAGACATCTATACTTCCTAATTTTTATATGAAAAAAGTACCAGAGAATAGCAACATTCCGAAATGGTATAAATTACTTACTTTTTTCTGTTATACACAGGCAACTTTCTACTTTTTGGAGGTTCAGTTTTTTACTGGCATGTCTTAACTTCTCTAGGTTTATAATTATATCACCAGCCAAAAGATAATATTCATTTCAAATTTTTGCTGTTTTCAGGTACTATTCATTGTTACTCTTTCACAAAAATAGAAGACCTACTATAATATTGTTTTCATGGTTACTGTACTTTTTCCTGTTACACATTGCTCTACTCTTCTCTTTGAAATAAATGTCACCGTTTCCTTGACCAGTATGTTCCATGTTTTATACTCATCCAACACTGATTAAGATGAATTTTTAAGAATACTTTTCTCTACCTTGTGCTCTTTTATTCTCCCCACTTAACTTAGTTCCTTTTATCTTTCTGTATGTAGTATTTGCTTTAATTTATTAAGCCTCCTGAGTCCATTCTTCCTATTTTGTTTCCTTTCATAATTTCCATGATTTCCATCTCAAAATATTTACTTTTGCACTTTAAGATATTCCAGGGAACCCAACCTTCTGGCTCAGATTTCCATTTGAAAAACAATCATCTTCTCTCTAAATTCAACTCCTGAATTGCCCAGGACCTAATAATCATCACTTTGCTTTCTAAACTTACCTGAATTGATAACATTCTTATTCTTTCACATAACTGCAACTAAGAAAATTTATATAAGTTTTGCTCTACCATAAATTCTACTTGTTTTATTATCCTTCAGAATAGAAATACCAAAATTGATAACTTTAATTTAATTTTCTGCTAAAAGCTTTCAGCCTCTAAAAATCTTTCACACTGTTTGTAGAAAATGGGCTAGTACAGAAAAGGGTATAATTTACAAAATGAGGACCGAAAGATTTGATAAATTCCTAATTCTGCACAGCTACATATTGAATTGAAGCCAAATAGTTGTAACTGTTCAAGAAATGTACTTGAATTTAAAAATACAAATTAAATGTCAAAATTTTAATAGTAGTCTATTCAGTAAAGGGAATAGTAGTGGCTATTCCCTTCTTTCTACTTTTCTTCTATAAATTTTATTTTGTACATCATTCCTTTAAAAATATTTAACCCTGGCTGTTGTGATGTAAACCTGTAATCTGAGCACTGTGAAAAAGTGAGATAAGGGGATCATAAGTTCCAGCAATTTAGCAAGATCATTTTTCAAAAATACAAAAGTACATGGAACATAGCTGAATAAAAATTCTCTTGGTTCAACACTCAGTACACAAAACAAGAGGGAGAGTAGGAAGAAGGACAAGGAGGAAGAGGAGGAGTGGAGGAAAAGAAGGAGAAGAGGAAGGAGGAGGTGAAAGGGAAGGAGGAGAGAAGGAAAAGGTGAAGGAGGAGGAGAAGGAGAAGGAGAAGGAGGAGGAGGAGAAAGCAGAAGGTGAAGGAGGAAGAGAAGGAGAAGAACAAGAAGAAAAGAACAAGAAAGGTAAGGGGAAGAGGCAGAAAAAGAAGAAAGAAAGGTTTAAGAACAAGTAGACTTCATTTTCCAGGTATTCTTCAATTATTATTATTATTCCACTCTTTCAGACACTGACAACCTAAAAGCAAAGATAATTTTCAGGGGCCTAAGGATCAAGGTACTCAACTGAATTTCACAGGAGGCAAGGTGGGTCGGGGGGTTTAACCCCTCATTGCAAACTCCCCTGACACCGCTCATCATAATACCATCTACTACCACTTAGATACCCATTGCCTTCATACATCCCTCTAGCTGCCAAAGCCTCTACACATGTCATTCTCTCACTGATCTAGTCTCCTCCAAGTTCCTAGACTCCAGTATTAACCTTCCAAGACCCCTTTCAAATGAACCATTTACACACTGAATCTGTACATAAGGAGGTAGGAGACACTGGCTAATGCAGTGACTTGGGTTTATAAGAATTCAACTCACATTTTTTTTATTTTGGTTATATATGCTCCTGAAGTGCTATTTCCCAATTGGTCTAGGCTGCTACTTCCTTCCAATTCTCACCTTACTCTTTGCCCACCACACAAAGTTACATCATCAATTTAGCAGTCTCTTTATGAAACATCGCCTGTACCAGATCTTAGACCCGATGGTAGTACTCATGATAGCAGAAAATTGCAGTTATCCAGAGTCTGGGTTGCATGAAAATGAGAAAAAAGGAACAAAAACAAATTAATCATTCCTGAGCCATCAAAATGATTTAGACTCAAGACAGAAAATGCCAGTCCAATTTGCAAAAAAATAAGAACTTTCTCTTCCCTGAGATAGAAGAATAGTGTATTCTATTCTCCTCTGATAGTAGGACAATTCCCTCAAAAGTTTTGGAGATGAGAAAGAAGCTTCAATTACATAGAACCTATAATTTCTAAAGAGAGAAATAAAAATTACTTGGATGATGCTAAGAAATAAATAACAGGAATTCAGAACTTGTAAAACACAGAAATTGGACACATAATTTAGGCATTTATCTACTATATAAAAGTAAAAAGGAAATACAGAATAGTGAAATAGAAAAAATATGCAAATGAAAATATTGTGCTGTTTCCTCTTCTGGAACACCATGCTCTGGTCAAAATTTAACCTCAGTCAAGATCCAGCTTATTGTCTTCTCCAAGAGTCTTCCCAGATTCCAGTAGCAAAACTCACACCTGCTTATTTCATACTGTTCTTCATACTTCTTGAATGCATAGCTAACAAGTACCTCAAATAAGAATCAAATTGTAAATTAAAATAAAATGAAAAAGCATTACTGAGTGATAGCTGGATGCAGATCCACAGTTCAGGGATGGCTGGGTTAATGTCTAGTGTGTCAAGTTTAAAAATTCACTGTATGTATGGTTTCAGTGATGGTCCTTGTGCTGGAAGCATTTTTCTACATTCAGAGGCTAATTTCATACTCTGAGACCGTTAACTTTTCCAAAACAAAGAGCTTTATGTTGTTTTTCTTCAAGTAAAAAAAAAAAAAAAAAAAAAACATTCTAATTAGTAACTTTTAATATTGGTGAACAAATAATAGTACTGACTCTGGGGAATACTTAGTCCTTCCTTCATTGGATTTTGATGGGACTTATACCTAAGAGTCCAGACTGACTTTCACCCAGGGAAAAAGGGACAAAAGCAGAGAACAAAAACCAGTTTGTGTGTACCAAATATAATGGTGCCCAAGTGGATTATTAGAAATATATTTCCTCCCGGGTGTGGTGACACACTCCTGTAATAGTAGAACTTTGCAGGCCAAGGCAAGAAGACTCCATGGATTTGAGAGCAGCCTGGGCTACATAGACAGAAAAAGGCCAGCCTGAACTACATAGAGAGACCCTGTCTCACAAATAAAATACATGTATTTCCTTCACAATGAGTCAACAGGAGTAACTGAGAGAAATGCAATACTTTGGAATATTTGGAAATCTGTGGTAGAAAAAGGAGAAATCACTGCCTATTCTAAATCTAGAGATTTTATTGAAATATTGGCTACTCAGTCAGGACACAAAACATGAGAAACCAAAAAAATAAAGCTATCTTGTATTTTGACAATTTTATGGATGCTTTTCAGTCTCACAAGGCTCCCAATGCAGGACTGAGCCCAAATATATCAATTAGAGAGACTGTGAATTATAAACTGTTCACTACTGAACTAGAAGAGGAATTGTTATGTTATGAAGTTTTCAAGTATATTTACAATTAACAGAAAAGCCATCCCAAACTATATTTAACAAGAACCTCACCCTTTTCTTTCACAGCTTTATGATCTGTTCTGTTTTCATTATGGCCATCATTTTTCAAATATCATTACCTCACGTTAACTCTTAGAAAAAATTAAAACGTACCAACTCCAACACCACCACATACAGTCCCATAACCTGATCAGGAGGGGTGAGCGTGCAATGGCACACAAGGCAGGACACACAGTCAGTACTGAACAGATATGCATTGTAGATATACGTGTGGCTCACTTGGAATGGCTATTATCAAAAAGACAAAAATAGCAAATGCAGGTGAGGATGTAAAGGAAAGGGACCTCATCTACAGTGTCAGTGGGATGGTAACTCAATACAGTCTCCATGTAGATGAAGAGAGAGGCTCCTCATGAGACTAAAAATACATCTGTCATATAATCCAGTTACCCAGTTATCTGGGTACAGGTCCAAAGGAAATTGTGTTGGCATGTCAAAGAGATAACTGTACCCTCAAGTTTATTGCCACTCTATTCACAGTAGCTAAGATATGGAATAAACCTAAATGCCCGAATAGATGAAAATGTAAGGAAAATGTGTTGCAGATTCACAATGGAATATTTTTCACCCAAAAAGAAGAATGAAATCCTGTCATTTGCAGCAAAATGAATCGAACTGGAGGACAGTTATATTAAGCACAAGTCAGTATTCAGGTCAGTTGAAGATAAAACTTCACCTTCATTTTCCTATATCCATTCCAAAAAAAAATGTAAATTTTAAAGAAGAATAAACTGGAAAATACAAGGAAGAAGGAGAATAGAGGGAGTTGGATAACATAAACTACAGAATTTATAAGTCCTACTACTCTGTAGCATGGTAGAGAAACAATAGTTCACAGAAGTCTTCTATATATTTTTTGGGAAATTACAAGAGAGGGAATTGAA